GAGCCTTTAACCTTAGGAATCTTAACTCCTTAAGGGGGGAGTCCCTTTATAAAGGGTTGCAAATCCCCTGGGTTTTCCGGTGTGGGAAATAACACACTAGAAACCCATCATTTTTCCCAGTTTTTCCATTCTAACGGGTAAACTTCGAGAATCAATTTCTCATTCACCCGTTATCCGTTTTGAGCGTACCATATATCGAATTGTAGCCCTAATCAAGGACAATCTGAAACCACTTTGACCCGACCCAAATCAGAAGTGGACCCCACTCAAAAAATTGCCCCAAAATTACCATTTAATGTAATTTTTCACACATTTTTCCAACAATCCCCCACATGAATGAAAATTGATTTTCGAGACTTATAAAAGATACGAAGATAGGAGGACACATTGTGTTCACCGGATGATCCTTGCATACGGAGAGGTAGGTTTAATCCTTTGAACCTTCCGCTGTAAAGACATGTTTATTTAGTGGCTGTCTAGTAGACTCGATGTCCTTGAACTATACTGCCGTCGTGTAAACATTGACTTATCTTTACACAAAAACCTTCCAACTTTGTTCCGTTCTCATGGGTGTGCCCATTTTGGCCATGGGTCACCGTCCTGGTTCTGCAAGAGTTTCTAAAGAAGTGAGCCTTTACAGTTCTCCTTTGAAGCGGCCTTCTTCTCTCTCACATAGGTGATTCTTTCACGAGTATCCCGCATACTCTTCCAATATTATCGAGTGGATCAACATTTTTGAATCATTAAAGCAAACGTTTTTGCTAACCTTGTGCGGGAGTCACTGTTTCAACGAGGACTGGGTAGGAGTCCGGGACCCCCACAGTGACCATCCTTCGCTCTATAATTTAGTTGTCCCTTTTGAACCTAGGATCAACTAGGTTGGGTATCCACTATAGAACTGTTCAATTCACGGGCTTTAGTCCCATTCCTCGTGACAACTTCTCCAACAATTCTCTATCCAATGCCTTGGTTAGCGGATCCGCTATGTTATCCTTTGACTTCACGTAGTCAATAGTAATAACACCCGTTGTGAGGAGTTGTTTAATGGTATTATGTCTACGACGGACGTGTCTAGACTTACCATTATAGAGATTTCTCTGTGCCCTTCCAATTGCCGCTTGACAATCGCAATGTATGCATATTGGAGGGACAGGCTTCTCCCAACTTGGAATGTCGTCGAGAAAATGATGTAGCCATTCAGCCTCTTCAGTGCACTTATCCAAGGCTATTAGATCAGATTCCATCGTGGATCTAGCTATTAACGTTTGTTTCGAGGATTTCCACGACACGGCTGCACCTCCCAAAGTGAAAACATATCCACTTATAGACTTTGAGTCCTTAATGTCCGATATCCAACTAGCGTCGCTATACCCTTCAAGTACAGCTGGATATCGTCTATAGTGCAGTCCAAGGTTTTGAGGTTTTCGTAAATACCTCAAAACCCTTACTATTGCCTTCCAGTGCTCATCACCGGGGTTGCTAGTGTATCTACTGAGCTTACTAACCACAAAGGCAATTTATCATTCACCCGTTATCCGTTTTGAGCGTACCATATATCGAATTGTAGCCCTAAGGAAGGACAATCCGAAACCACTTTGACCTGACCCAAATCGGAAGTGGACCCCACTCAAAAAATTGTCCGAAAATTACCACTTAATGCAATTTTCACACATTTTTCACACAAGTTCATATGGGTAATAACAAGTCTTCTATTTGTTCTGCTAGCCTTATTAAATGTCCCTTTATATGGTGTGGAAGGCTAGACTGCATTCGTTGTGAGGTTGAGCTAAAACTCTTAATGATTTTCATAGCCCTTACGGGTGGTGTGTTAAGTGCAGAACACACTTGATGAGATCACCTATATGAGTGTGAGGTGGGGCCGCCTCCATGAAGCATTGACAACGCTTCTAGAGCACTCACGAACACCAGGCACGTGCACGGCCGAAATGCGCACCACGGCGTTAACGCGAGGAAGTGTGCGGGGTGAGACATGACTAGGGCTGGCAATATCACCCGCACCCGTGGATACCCGGTCAATTCGAACCGAAAATATGGACGAAAACCCGAAGAAGTATGGATGAAAAATGGATGACGGGTGGATTGAAAGACGGGGTGGATCGGGTGTGGATGAACACTCATCCAACCCATCACCCGACCCGTCACCCGTTCTATCCACCCACCCGCTGACCTGCATATAAATATATAATATATAATATATATTATACTCCCTCCGTCCCGCTAAAATGGTCTATTTTACCTTTTCAGTTCGTCCCACTAAGATTGTCTCATACCTTATTTGGTAAAATTTGCGTGACTCTAAATCATTTTTACTTTATTCGTACTTTATCAATTCAATATCAATCACATAAACCATTTTTATTAATTTGTGTGTCACTCCCTTTTGTCCCATTTTTAGTGGGACGAAGGGAGTATCTATTTAATGATATAATAATAATAATAATAATAGTTAATATAAATATATTAATAGATAGTGAGATACTTAGATACGTATATATGTTAATTACTCGGTTACTCCATATACATATTAGGGAGTATATGTTCGGATGTTCCTGAATTACTAGAGCTCATCCCTAATCGGCTAATCTCATCAGCCCTATTTTGGAGACTTGGAGGTGGACGCCTAGACTCATACTCTGAGAAGACGGGATTCTGATTTTCGAGGGACAGGGAAGCGGCCGCTCAGTGAATTAATGATTGTAATATACTTAATTGCTCAGTTATTAATGTTTTTGGTTTTTAATTGTCATGATTATATCTCTTTGTAATTTATTTATTATCTCAAGTTTGACCATTTATATTTCACCCGCTACTCACCCGATAACCCATTCAAGATGGATGGGTTGGATGTGGATGTAATTTTTAATGGATGATGGACGGGTGGGTGGAGTATAAAAAGTTAACGGGTGGACGTGGATGAGCCTCCACCCGGTGTAAATCTGACCCGCTGCCACCCCTAGACATGACCATTAAGACCCTGATTTACCATAGTAGCTTTCTTGGTTCATAAAAACTATACGTTTCACCAAAAGCTTGGTTTATAAAGACTTAACCGTCTCGGTTTGGTTCATAGTCTACGAACACCAAACTTAAGGTCTCATTCCTTTTGTCCAAAAAAATAACTAGCCAAATTTTTGGGTGAGAAAACTTAATTTGTAATAAACATGTCATTTTTTCCTTTTACAAACACCCCATTAGCTTTTTAAAGATTTGATTAAATATTTTCGAGGGAGAGATACTATACGGACGATTTTATAGATCTGATTTCAAGATGTAAATCCCTAATTATTTTTTTGGAAGAAATGTAAATCCCTAATTATTAAAACAATTAATTGTTTGAGTGACTTTATTTGAGCTTTGCAATAATTTAAAATCTAACGTGACAATGACGTGGTATTTTTTTAACATAATAAACTTATTTATTAATAAAAGAAAGTATCAAGAAATATAGCAATCGAGCTAGCAGCTACACTAGGGTGAGACATCGAACTAAAATATCGCTTAAAAGCGACCCAGATCGCTAACCCTGCAGGAATGTAGACTAAACTAACAACATTGTTGCACTTGCTACTCAAATAAGAATTTAAACACTAAGAATTGTCCTTACTAAAACTCAAAAAAGCATAATAAAAAAGACCGGTTTCACCAGCTACTGGAAAGGGATATGTGGTTTGACCAGCCACCGCCAAAGGATAAACCCCAACCTCTTCTTGCAATTTGCAAATAATCTTATCAACACCCTCTAGATCTCTATATTAGGCGGTGCTTTCCCATAAGCATAGCCTCTTTCCCATTTTTTGCCTTCAATAATGTAGCCCCTTGTGTCCTCCACTGCTATCCTTTGGTTCAGTTGAGTCAGTCACATCTGCCCTTACCCTCGGACTTGCTTGGTTCACACTAGGAATTAACTATCTATTTCCAGGATGCACTCCGGCCTCCTCTTCCCACATCTGTGCATAACCAGGACCCATAGGGTTTCCCACTGACTCTAGGGCCAGGGTGAATATGGAGGGGCAAAAGCGATCAATATGTCCTAAAACTCCACAGATAGAGAAAAAATTTGGGAGTCTTTCATATTTAAAGTGTGCCCAAAACCAATTTTGTCCTTCATGTCTAATCTTGATCCTTATTTCTCATCGCATTCTTGATAATAATGGTTACCCTGATGTGAATAATGGACCTACATCCTCCTCTGTGCGTTCGTTCATCAATCATGACAAGTGAACAGATGCAATTTCCAATACCGCTCGCAACCTTCTTAGTCATGAATCCCAAGGGTAAATTGTGTATCTGGATCCAAAAAGCAGCATGATCAAGTTCCACTTCGAGCGGCCTATCATCCCACCCAAGCCGTTTCACCACCACCAAGTTATGTTCAAAAGGCCGGCCATGGTCCCTCCTGCATCACCCGATTGATATCCCCTTCATGATTAAATTGGATCAAGAATTTTGTGACGCCAATATACCCAATACTAACTTCCTTTATGGGCTACCAAACCATCGTCGTTGCTTCTCGAAACGCAATCAGGCGGATATGTTTGTCTCTCACAACCCGAGCCACGGTCATGAACCTTGGCATATCTGTATGTCAACTATATTTTTAAAAAAAGATTATGTAAACCATATATGTATGTGAAGTATATTAGCATTCTACCATATATATGTGCACAAAAAAACTTGACAATTTTACAATTAATAAATATTACAGTAATAACTAGCTATCTATTTCAAAAGAGCTTGAAATTATTATTAATTTTTAGTTAAATTTAGATAGAAAAATACACTAATCTAACTAACAATCAATTCTAAGAACATTTCTAAATTCTAAAGTTGACATTCTATAAAAAATAAAATTAGGCACCAAAGCCATTCTAAAAAAATTAAATAACCATTGAAAATAGAGTACTCCGTGGGTGGGTCAATCAATAATTTTTGAAACGTGGCCGCAATTAGCTTTCATTTTCAACAAGGGAGCCTTTCAAGTCAATCTCTTGCATTGAAAACTGTTTGACATTTTCTTCCTGCTGATTATTCCAATCCACTTCCTACCAGTTGGACTTTCTATAATAATCTCCAATCCCATTTAATACCCACCGCCGCGTGCCACCACCGTCCCTCGCCGTCTCCTCCGCCACATTGTTCCTCACGCGCATCAAATGGCGTGAAACGTTTCACCCCGCAAGACCAAAAGTCTCCAACAAAAGAACATTTCTCACCAAACTGAAGAGAAAGTGTATTGTTTCTTCAAATCTCTTCTTCTCCCTCTAACAAATTCTTTCTCTTTCTCTCACTAGAGACACTCCCGTTAATGGAGAACTCGAGAAAAAGTCAAGTAAACGAAAACCCATCTCTAATGTCTCCTCCCAGTTCGAGCAGCTCCGTCAGCGGCAATGGCGGCGGCCAGAACCTTCCGTCGCCGCCGGCGGTTCCGCCCATTACCAGATCCGAACCCAGTAACCTGTACCCGACTACCTTCGTCCAGGCTGACACATCCTCCTTCAAGCAAGTGGTCCAAATGCTCACCGGACACTCCGAAACGGGTAAAGTCGCGGGTTCAGCCAGGCCCGAACCTACCCGTAACCCAATCCCGGTCGTCAAAACCGGACCTAAGAAGGAAAAATCCGGGTCGAAGCTTTATGAGCGGAGAAACAGCCTTAAGAACTTCAAAATCAACCCGTTACCAGCAGGGTTCTCAGCCAAATCCGGGTTTGGAGCAGGGCTATCGGGCTCTCCCAGATTCGGGACTTCCGAGCTTCTGTCGCCGAGCATGCTTGATTTTCCATCGCTGGTGCTGAGCCCGGTGACGCCTCTGATACCCGACCCGTTTAACAGGTCCCCGCAAAACACGGCGAGTCCAGAGAATTTGAACATGGAAGCGGAAGAGAAGGCAATAGCGAGAAAAGGGTTTTATTTTCATCCGTCTCCGGCGACTACTCCGAGGGATATGGAGCCCCGGCTGCTCCCTCTGTTTCCGGTGACCTCCCCTAGAGTTTCAGGTTCTGCAAATTCGAATTCTTGAACGAACTTTTTTGTTGTTTACTTAATTTTTTAGGCCAATTTCAATTTACTGTATTATTATAATCTTAATCACATGTAAACTGCACATGTATGTGAGAATTGGATTTAATGAGCCAAGAATGTTATGATATTATTATTGTTATTACAGGGAAACTCTGAACTGGTTTGGTGATATCAAAAAATGAATTTTTGTTTAAGTTTGATGGTTTCACTAATGACTTCATTATCATCTTTGAGGGAGTCAAAATTTGGTAAGTATTTTCTTAATTGCTAACTGAGGAAATGGAGTCTTGACTCTCTGTACTCTTTGTGGAAAGCAGAAAAGATGTCAAGGTTAGGCAAAGAACAGTCTATATGGGTATTTTGATTGAAGAAAATCAAAATGATTTGTTTATTATTCATATCACTTTTGGTCTTTTGTTGTTTACTGGAAAGTAGTACCCTATGGGTAATTTTCCATATTCTTAAAACACTGCAAATGGGCATAAGGTGACATAAAAAAATCTATTTTGTGTACTTGTTTGCACCACACATTGGTTACTACTAATATAGAAATTCAGTGTTAGCACTGTTTAGCAGGGTCTTCACTTCCAAAAGAGGAATTATAATTAGTAGCTCTATAAAGGCCTTAAAGCTTTAATATTCCCTTTTGGTAGGTAATATTTTCCCGATCCAAAAGATTGATCAGATCAAACGATTGAAACATAAACGATCTAGATCTGAAAGATCAAATCAGAAGCTTAAAACAACTTCTTACTCTTCTGCCTTGAACTTATCAGATTTTACCCTCTGTTTTTACAAAGCTGTGGTCTCTGTTTGTTGAGGTCTTAAAAGCCAAAGTTAGGTGCCAAGCATTAGTTTCTCACAAGACTAGTAAACCTCATAAGAATCTGTTAAGAAGTGGGACCCATTGGGAGTTATGGGGCCCACAAGATTTGAGAACTAGACCAAAACGCATGCACTAACGTATACAGAGTCCAGAAAACTTTATGAATGCCAGCTTTCGAAATTGTGCAAGAAAATCATGTAAAGGGGTTTCTTTTTAGCTGTACTTTTTATCTCTAGTTGCCATCGGTGGAGGAGGGTGGGGTTGAGTGGGCCTTTTAATGATGTAAGGCGTGAAGAAGGAAGGAAAATTTGTGAAGTGTTCCTTTTTGCCAATGATGAAAAAACCCAAATATTTCAAACTTTTTAATGCAATTTTCGTATTTATAAACTTTTTAACCCAAATATTTATAATTTTCGTATTTATAACCCAAATATGTCACGAAAGATTTCTATAACCTTTCACAAAATTCAAAGAATTATACGTAGTATATCCTTTACTACAAATATAAAAGAGTCGCACATTTGGGGAAAAAATTCTACAATCTTTCGCAAAAAAATACGTTTATTAGCAATATAACCAAATACCAGATAGCTTCTCATTTTTTAATTATATGACTAAATAGCTTTTCATAAATTAATGGTGTTTTACATTCATAATAATAACCTATTTGGTGTCCACTCATATGGTGGTCTTTTTTACAAGAATATTATTAAATAAAGTTTATTTTCATAAATATGACTATTCATTACTACAATGTAGAGTTGTGGTAACTTAGAGCATCTCCAATGCTATAATGTCCACGGTGCACATGTGGCATGAGTGATAGCTACAAAATTATTAGCAAATAAATTATTTTTCTCCTTATTTGAATGATTTTATACAATTTTGGTAAGTTTTTCCCTGCAATGTCAACAACAATGTCAACATTAGACGGTCTCCTTGACATTGTGGAGAAAAACTTACCAAAACTGTATAAAATCATTCAAATAAGGAGAGAAATAATTTATTTACTAATATTTATGTGGTCATCTCTCATGCCACGTGTGCACCGTGCACATTGTACCATTGAAGATGCTCTTATATTCAAAACTTGAACATGAATTACTATTATTTCATTACTACTCTAGTAAGTAGTCATATTTTTGTAAACCATCTTTATTTTGATCATATTTATGCAATTATTTCTTTTCTTCAAAATATAATCTTTTTCCCTAAAAAGATTCTAATTTGTATCAATATTGAAGTATGAATCTATTTTTCCTATATTAGACAACTGAGCCTTTCATTCATTCTTCTTTACCAAGTTTTTTTTTTGACATTACCGTGAAATGTTATTCACATTGTACATGTATTTGAGATCTTTTACCACTACAAATAAATGGTGATGGTGAAACTCTTCCGATAACAAAAAAACCTAGATAAGAACATGACTAAAATTTCCAGACCCGAGCTGCTTTTGTTTGGTTTTATAATTCATGTGTGTTTGTGGATATTATTGGTGGTGGGCTTGATAAGATCTGTGGACTTTGTGTCCTCAAGGGTTGGTGAGTCGTTGATTGCAAGTTCGAGTGTTACATGTGCTTTGTTTTCCAATCATAAGATGATACTATGACAGGATCTCACATTTCTTTGTTACATTTGATTCACTCCAATTTTACTAATTACAACATGAAAATGGTAGATCGTTTTCAAACAATACTTGAATCGAATATTTAGTATGTAGCTTAGATAATGATAGTTTAAAGAAAAAATTGAAAATAATAATCCTAACTATTGCCGATCCTCAAACAATAATCCCAACTACTAATTTTTTTTGAAGTAGTCCCAACTACTAATTATTTTTGTATAATCCCAACTATATGGACCGTCTGCCAATAATGGTTCATGACCAAGTATTACCTCCTATAACAAGTGAACTTTAAATAGAAATTAAGCGTAAAAATTAAAAGTTGTAATTATTTATAGGGATTACTCGCTATATCTCTTCTCATCCACTTTAAAAACTACATGAATTTATTTACAGGAATCATTATTGGCGAAAGGTCCCTAAAGTTGGGATTATTCTGAAATAATTCATAGTTGGATTATTATAAGCGGACCGCCAATAGTTTAAATGAAAGTAATAGAGTTATAAAGGCTGGTTTGCAACCACTTTAAAAAAAGCACTTCTCAGCTTTTGGCTTAAAAAAGCACTTATTTACCAAACACTACCAATTTTTTATTTTTCTCGGCTTTCGTGTCAAAAGTGTTTTTCCACTTTTTATACACCAAAAGCACTTATTTTACCAAACACTACCAACTTTTACTTTTCAAAATCACTTTTTTCTCAAACACTATCAACTTTTACAAATAATCACTTTTTCCAAATCACTCCAAAAGTGCTTTTTTTAAAGCAGAAGCTGTTGCAAACACTCCCTAAATTTGATACAGGTGTCATATACATTACAAACTTCACGTAAGTTATGAGCAAATTACACTTTATTTTTAAATTTTAAAAATATAATTAATTTTATACTAGTATATCAAAATTTACTCATTTCAAGTTAAAATGTTGTTGATTTTTCAGTACTCATAACTTATATACATCATGATTCACGGGCAAAGTAATAATATATCGAATTGGAGGTATTTCAGCGTTCTATGATAACTTTTAGGGGTCGCTGATCATGCTGCCCTCTTGACTCTTCCCCTGATATTAGCACACGCATCATCTATTGAATACTATGGGTTCGAGTGTTTGACTTGGTACAAAATTTAAGAAATTTAAAAAAGTGTAATTGAGGTTGTGTGAAAAAAAGAGTGGAATATCAAAACTCAATAGGGAGTGACATAACGACTCACATGAAGATGTGAGTCCGATCCCATGAAGATTTGAAATGAACTTGACGCACATACTACATTCTGGGTAAGGATGGCAAATGGCAATATGGGGAATTTTGTAGACATAAGGCAGGATGGGGGGAGGGAACCCCGCCTCATACCTGCCCCATTCCATTCTTAATTCTAGGACACACAAACATATTTTAGAGATAAATTTATCATTTCAAGTAAAGTCTTTGTATGTAGAGCCGGTCCTAACAATTTATAGGCCCGAGATAAAGACAAAAATAGGCCCCTAATTATATCCTTCCTCCGTCCCGAAAAACTTCGCCAAATTGACTTTTATTGGTCAATGATAATCAATTTTGACCAATGATATTTTTTAATACGAAACTATTCAGAATATGAAAATTATATCAAAACGTTCTTTATTCAAAATATTTTTATAAAAGCACAAAATTTATAAACTATATACAAATATAATAATTAAAGTTTTTGTCCAAAGTTTACTACAAGTAAATGTTTTGTCCATAAAACTCCTGGTATCATAAGCCATACGCAACAAAACAATTTTTAGGCATTCCTAGAAGCAAAATTGTCATTAATAATATCGATTTTTGATTCTCGACTTCTGTGAGAAATGTAGAAAGTGATCATTTGATTGTGTTTCGTGTGTAGCTCTGCCGTTGTGTCTAAGTCTATGGGTATGAGGGTTGAGGGATATCTTTTACGGAGCACTAGAGTATAAGGAAATGATCTAGTCAGGTGTGCCTGACAAGATGCCCGTATAGAGGACAGACAAGTCCATTTGACGAGCTTCAAGGTCGAATTTTTTGATAAAGTTTTGTGAGAGTGTTCTTCACAAAATTTCAGTTTTGAATTCAATTAGGAAGTTAGTTGAATAAATTATTGAAAACATTGCGCTTTGTAAACATATATAAAGCACACTATTTTTCAATAGTTTATTTAATACACTCCATGAATGAATTTTAAGCTAAAATTTTGTGGACGTAATCTACACTTGATGAAAAACATGTTCACAAACTTTCATCAAACAATTTTCATCCGGATTCATCCGGAAGCACCTCAAATGGGCTTGGCCGTACAAAACTCCCGATCAAACGCGCTTGAGGCGAACGAACTGAATATATATATATACTACTACTAAATAATTTATGGGCCCGTGTTCCTGGAGGGCCCTGGGCAGCCGCCCAACCTGCCCGGTTGCCCCTATATCAGGACCGACCCTGACAGCATGCAGACCGTATCGTGTGAAATACTACGTATGACTAGAGTAAGGGTCGGTGGACGGTGGGTACCTCTAGATAACTAAGAAATGACACTAAGGCACCCTAAAAAATAGGGTGATCCTATCAGTTTGGTTTAACTTAACCGAACTGTACTAGATTTAACCCGAATCATATGCAATTTGATTTGAGTTTGATATCAGTTCTTTCAAACCCTATCACACCAAACCGAACTGAAAATCGAGAAAAATCGAATAAAATCAAATCGAACTAAAGAAATTCAATAATTTTTTTACATGTTATTAAGAAATAA